GAGTATCAACCATTATATTATAGAAAGGTAATGTGGTGCTACTAGAATACACATGCATAATTACTACACACACACACATATCATCTACATTAGATCCAGCAGGATACTTTATTTTAATGTGAATTAACATTGTTCCGACTGCCCATGTAACTAAACTCTGCTGAGCACAGCCTAAATTTCACTTTTTAGCCTCCCTTCATATCAAAATATGCCCAAACAGAACTTCACTTATTCTGAGTTCCCGAAAACAACATTCCTATAGTCTGGTCTGTTTCAAGGTGGGAGATTATGCTGGCAACATATCAAAAAAAGTAGTTACAACTAAATGCCATTAAACTATCAATTTCAATGCTAACTGCTATATTTATAAAACCCTTTTCCTTATTGTTTTGCTTATTTACAATCTTCAGTGTGGAAGCTTATTTGGTAAAGTTACATTTTGCTGAAGTTGAGGACATCAAAGATAGCAGCAAAGACATTGAATCTATATGGGTTTCTGTTAGTGGGGAAAGAAGACTTTTTGTTGGAATTTGTTACAGACCACCATATAAAACTTAAATAAAAATGATGAAAATCTATACAGGGAGATTACAATTTCAGCTGTTAATGAAATCATGATTTTGAAAAAGTTTTATTTCAGGCATATAGGTTGAGAAATGTTAGAATCAAACCATGCATGAGACTGATTTTTGAGATTGTTCAGGATGACTTTCTTCACAAACTGGTCAAGAAACCAATCAAGAAATAATGCTTTATTAGATTTATTGTTAATTTACAATAAAGAAATATTTGAGAGGGTGAGGACTGTGGAGTATCTGGGTTCAAGTGATCATTGCTTTAGATATCATGTTTTGCTGCATATAGAGATCAGGAATAATGAGATTTTGGTTACAAGCTTCAAAAAAGCAAATTCTGAAGTGATGCCATAAGATTTATCAGTTGTGAATTGAACAACTGAATTAATTGGAGATACTGATCAAGTCTGGAAAAAAAATGTAAACAGATTTTTTAATATTAAAGTTATGCATATTCCTTATAGAAGTAAAAGACCAGACTGGATCACAAACAGTATAAGGAGTAAAATTAAACAAAATAAATTTAAATTTAAGAAGTTGTAAAATGACTTATATAATAGGAAACCTTAGAAGATTATAGAAGAGCAACAGAGCTGATCATCCAGGAAATTAGGAAATCAGAAAGGATATATAATAAAGGTTAACTGAAAATGGGAAAATTAACAGTAAGGATTTCTTTAAACACGTTAAGGGAAAGTAAAATGTTAGGACAGGATTAGAGCCTTTGAGGGATAACAAAGGAAGGCCATTTCTGATTATTACAAGATGACTGGATTATCAAATTCTACCTTTTCTTCAATTTTTTTTACTCATGAAAATGTAAGCAGTATTCCCCATCCTAAACTTTTGCTAAATATAAAAAAAGATTAATTACATTAATTTTGAGCTTCTTAAGAAAGAAATTAGGAGGTTTAAAAATGATAAGACTCTTGGGTCATATAATATTTACCAAGAAGGTGATTAAGGATTGGATATATGATTCACATGTTACTATATTTTACAAGTTCTTGGATAGTGGGCAGTTTCCAGAAGGTTGTAAGTTATAAAATAACATTAAAGGACAGCAAGGGACCTTTTCAGGAGGCAGTCCTATCCATTAAATTAAACTGAACCCTTGAAAAAACAAACTCAAATCAAACCCTTATCATTCAAATAATTACCATGTTTTCCCTTAAAAGTTAAATTAGCTGCATTCACCACATCCAAATGGAACCCATTCCAGAGGCCAATAACCATGTCAGAAAAATAAAGCTGTCTAAGCTGAAGATGAGTCTACCCTGCCATAATTTATATTTTTGTCCCTCAATCTTACCATTTTCTCTATTAGATATGGAAAAAAAGATGATGCATCAACACTATCAATTCTCTTAACAATCTTAAATACCTCAATCAGATCCCCTTTGATTCTTCTTTTTTTGAATAAAAAACAAGTTCAAAGATCTTAACCCATCCTCATAATGAGTCATATTATTACAATAACTTTTCCATCACAGGTATCAATTGAATAATACTCTAGTAGCAGTAATACTAATAGCCATTCTCCAAACCCTTTCCAACAAGTTTAGTAAATAAATGGCAGATGTGTTTTAGATATAATAAATGAAAAGTGGTGCGAATAGGTTATCACAATTTGATAACTTTAACAGTGTTATGGATGAAAAATATCTTTAAGTTCTGGATGATCAATTTCTTAATGCATTTAACTTCAACTTCAGGCATTGTGCTGTTAATGTTAGTGTTAATAATAATAGTGTTAGCAAAACTACGATTTTAGATTGTATCAACAGAAACACTGAATAAAAGACTAAAGTGTTTATGGTTTCATCATGTAGATCACATTAAGAATACTGTGTTTAGTTTTTGGCTCCTTGCCTTTGGAAGAACATTGAATTGTTTCAAAATTAAATTACTCTCTCAATGGTTAACAACTTGATGAGCTAGTTTTAAACTTTACGTTCTTGCATAACCGCTTCTTTCTGTAAGTTTTCTTTTAAACTTTTTATTATGTTCTTACACTTACAGAGTTAAACTTTAATCCATTTCCACTAGTAATACTAATAAGTTAACAACACTTTCCACTAATGGCTAGTAATGCTGCTTTACTTACTCATTTGGTGCCCAAAGTCTTGTAGTACGATCTCTTGACCCTGTAACAACTGAACCCTCTGGATAATAGCTTGCGGCAACTGCACGGACATCCGAAGAATGTCCAAGCAATGAAAATCTTAATTTAAAACGTAATTTATCCATAACAAGAACTTTGCACACCTCCAACTAACAGGCAAGAACCAAACTTCTGATTGATTGATTTAATTTGCTCAAGACCCTAGACAAACACAAGCGTCATCTAGTTATATTGTAGTTCATATAAATAATAATAATTTAATCTTTTTGAATAGTTATCAAGATTTTCCAAAACATTTTGTTCTGAAATAAATAAAGAAAATCAGTATTATTGCGTTTCTTTAATTGAATATATTGTTAAGACCCTGTATTTCAAGTTTTAAGATCAAACGATCCGTAATTTTTCGCCTCATATATGTGAAACTCATGATACATAAGACATCCATAACAGTATGCTGTTTGTAGTTAAACACAAATCTACACAATGGGCTATCTGTGCTGTGCCCACCAGGGTATCGAAACCAGGTTTTTAGCATTATAGGCCTTCAGACTTGCCGCTGAGTCACTGCGGGGTGTATGCAAAATGTATAAATCATACTCACAACTAAAGGTGATTAATATATTGTACTGAATATTATTGATATTATTATAATGTGTTCCATCGTGTGAATTCTTTTGGATAATTTGAGTCTGCATCTCAATATCAATCTTGTGAGATATTTTATTTATTCAGCTTAACTCATTAAGTCCGCTGGAAAAGGTATTTTGATATTCAGTGAGCAAGTCACGTAATCTGTGGTACTGATCAGCGATAAGACCTTCACCGTTCCTGTTATACAACCCTTGTAAGTAAGGTTGTAAACTGTTCTTATATGAGAATTCGAAATTAGACTTCCTAGATTTTGCCTCAAAGGTGACTACTTCTAATGTTTTTGATGTGGAAGTGTTACCTGTACACTTTCACAGCTTGCAATGTCCCATTTGACTCGAATTGTATGGTTCATTATGTTCATTGCCCTAAAAATGACATCTTTATTCTTCAGCTCCACGAGATTTCTTCCTACCGTTAATATTTAAAGACACACTGAAGTGTTTAGTTTATCATACCCCAGTTTCTTAATGTAAATTTATTCCTAATGAATCCTGATATGAGTATTTTACTTCTTGCTTGTGCAATTAATTCCCTCCTTATTATTAGTGGAAATTCAACCTTCTTTTTTTTTATTGTATTAGCTGTCACTTAAAGCATAGGTATTTCCTAGTCATAGACTATGAAGCTAACTGAAAACTACCTTAACCTTACATCCATGTCTCCACATAAAGGCAGTTCCCAATGTGCACTCTTCCTCGATGTCAGTTACCCACACATCATGAGACATAGATAATTTCCTATTGTAAAGATCACTTCCAACTTTTCTGTTATTGGAAATTTATATTCAGTTGCTGTTCACATCAATTCATCTTCTTCCTTCATTCCTGGAAGAACATTCACTCCTTTAATTACCAAATTGGGACGAATTGTTGTAACTGTACAAACAGTGTCAGTCAACATGCTTCTCGGCTTCCCGTTAATAAAGCCATTGATTAGTGGGCAGTTTCTTTAAATAACGAACTTTTATCTCAATTGTGGCACGTAAAGTATTCTCAACAGCACTTTGCCAGTAATTTAAGCTAACTCCTTTTCTCCCTATGTCTGTTATTCCTTTGATCTGGTTAGACTTGAAGACTCATCTTTAGGGTATTATCTCCTTTATGTATAACAGCTGTTTATTCTTCACAGTCTCGGCTGTAATGGCCATGTTTCACACATTTATAATATTTCCCTTTTTTGACATCCTTTGAGAGAAGTTTTTATTCCCTACAAACCTTTGTTTGCAGTATTGGGCAAGTTAAAATTGTGTTACGTCTCCGTTCGTTAGTTAATTTTCCGTAACTTGGTTCCGATGAAACTTTAGCGATACAAGTCCTTTCTTAAATAAAACTGGTTTATTCTTTCCGAATACAACTTTACGATACACTTAATTTCAACAGTCGCTCTATAACAAACGCTATAACTCACGTCTCACGAGCTCGACTTCAACAATACTCCGTTCAATTACACACTCTCTGACTGCAGTTCAATTACTCATTGCCTCGTCACGTTGTGACCATCTTATATATACCAGACTACCTCCAATCTAGTAGTCTCGCGACAATTCACGAAGGTTGGAGAAGGACGTGGCGTGATACTAGTCACCTGACCTCGCTGATGCAACAATTGTTTATTTCCTCCATTCTGTGTGACTAGTTGTCTAAGTAATACTTTCATTTTTTTATAGATATTGTCTTTAGTTGTTTATCTGTGACTTTAATTAATTCAAGTTTCAAGCCAACCGGAAAGATTCTTATCTGTTATGGCATCTATAAATTGGTCACGTGTTAATGAGTCCATCATTTCATGTGGAGAATTTTAATAAGATAAGTGTGCAAGCCTTTCCAAATTTTCTGAATATTTGGTTAAGATATCTTATTCCTTCATACCCTGCTCTAAAGCTTTATTTTGGATACTTCCGTCTGATGTATTACTCTGAACCTGTTGGTTAAGGTTGCTATCAATATTTAATAGATGGTAGGGCTCTCAGCTGGAAAGTTGCTTTTGTTGTTTCAGCCGGTTATTTTAAATAGGCAGCAAGATGAATAGCTTGTTGTTCGCTATTCCACCCACTCACTTTGAATTTATTTTTAAATTAGCCTGATATACCTTCTTGGTACCTTTCTAGTATAGTCTTTTGGTTTCTCACTTTGGTATTCCTGTTGAACTGGACAGGAAAAGTCTGTAACTTTATTCAGTAGTATCATGGCTGGTCAGAATAGTCCTGTAGTCACAGACAGCATAACAATAGATGTAGCAGGTGTAAGTCAGATAGGTTCTCCTATTCCATATTTAAAGTAATTGGTGTTTTAGATTGGAATATTTGAGTGTATGCACTTACCAATCCTTTCTGCAAATGTTTATTTTTTTGTGCTACTTCATTATTGTCATTACAACTTTTCTGTGCTTCTTCAGTCTTGTTGTTGTAATCCCTCTGAACAACTCAAGTAACTTTATCAATATCGTCTTCAATAAGATTTGCTTTTGTTTTGTTTTTTTTAAATTAAACTTCTTCTTTTAAGTCTTCTCTTAAATTTCTGTCTCTTGATCTTATTTTCATTGTTTCATAATCTCTAGCAGAGGTCCGATTTCACTTCTTGCCCATGTTGTCGTTAACTTGATGTGTATTTTAGTCAAAGCTCTATTATATTTTCACTAAAACAATCGCACTTCTGATACAAGTATTGTGACGATTTCTATCATTGGACGGGTTCTTATGAATTTTTTGGTAAAAATAATGTCATGTCCAGTCCGTGAAATATAAATAAGCTATTTAGTTCTTTAATAACAGTACAGAATACGTTTCTTGTAAGCCTATCTTCAATATAAATATTTTAAAAGAATTTCCGAAAGGAATTATATGCAAGCCTTACTCAGAAAAGAAAAACTGAATAGGTACAATAACTGTCAATAGTAACACTGAAAGGAATTAATATAATATTTCCCAAAGTCTCTTATATGTAATCGTACTTTTATCTCTACTTGTTACACGAAATTTCTAGATTCTCGGCTTTTATAAAATTTCTAGATATTGGATGATGTGCCATCTAGTAACCAAATATTTAAAATATATCTTATAACAGTGAAATAAGAATAAGAAAAGCTATATTTTTAAATCAAAGAAAACCCTATTGGAGAACGGATCCCCTTGAGAGTCAACCAGACTTTAGGAATTTTAGAGAAAAATGGGTTCACAGATGATGCCAGTCGCCCCTGAATTCTTTAAAGCTGATGCCACCATCATTATCATAGCAGTGCAGAGAGTCGGGTGGCTCATTGGTCGTTTCCTTCACCTCCACCATCGAGTGCTATTAACAAAGGGTCTTCAGTATCAATAGAAGGATTGACCACTATCCAGATAAGGTGTATGATTTTTACCGTGGCAGTCACTGCCTACCACTATCGAAAAGTCCCAGAACATGCCAAGGATGGAGTTCCTGAATAAACCACTTAAAGTGTTAACAAGTCATCCACTCTAAAATAGATTCTAATGTACAATTTACACTCCTGGGAGGTGCTACCAACTTGACTGAAATTTGAATTCTTTACAGCAGAGAGGAAAACTAACTGATGTGGAGAGCAGTGTCTCCATTTTGGCTTAATAAAGAATTTGCCACTTATTGCCTGAACTGGCTGAAAACAAGAGGATCCTACCTAAAACCAGAAACATCTTGAAACCACCACTGTAGCTAACTGTAAGAAAATGGCTGCAATAAGAAATCAGCTGGTAGAGTTGGGAATGGGGAAGGGGTCGTGTTGGTCAGGTTGAAATGTAAAGTTTGTATATCTATTCCCTTATTAATATTTTTCTTTTTTGTATATTCAACTTAAATGTGTTTTACATATCTAGGTATCTCTATGTGTTTCTTTTGTCTATTCTAACTAAATTGTATTTTTTTAGAGAGCTTATTTTGCATTTTGTCAGTTATGTTTTAATTATGATTATTTTGCTATGTATTTTCAATAAAGGGTCTTTATTTTAGTTTGCTTTTATGTGCTAAGGTTTCAATGTAGCGACTATACTTGATGTACCACATATTTATCTATGCAGAGTTTATATTTGTTCTTTGTTTTTATGCTTAGCACTATTGAATAGTTTGATTTAATAATGACTGTACTCGATAAAGGTTTTTATTTTGTATATATATACGTATATGTATATAAATCTATAATAAATTCATAATGTGCTAGTTTACTCCCACCTAAAGGGGTTGGTGATCAATGTTAAAGTTCTATGTTAAAAGCCACTTTATTCGTGTGTGTGTGTGTGTATGTATGCTTGCAATCTTTATTAAAGAGTTTCTTTTTTGTATTATATATTTATTTGTTAAAGGATGGGTGAAGTTTGTTTTTGTTTGACGTTGGCTCATCCTTGGGTTGTATGGGCAGTTGTAGTGTAGTCATTTATCGGGCCATTTGAAGGGCTAGAATCTTATGGGGTTGACAAGGCAATTGTTTCCAAATGTGATGTGTCATCTAGCAATGCATCTTTGTCTATAGGTTCTGCCACAGTGAAAGACAGAGCGACTCTTGAAGTCCTAGGTTTGATAGCTTAATATACTCCTTTACT